CCCCGCCCCGGCACGAGCCCCTCCCGGAGAATCGTCCTCGTCATGCCGAGGGTCCAGCTGCCGGGTCCAGGGACGTGGATCTGGGGCTGAACAACAAGTGCGCGCTCTGCATAAAAAATGAGGCTCCGCGAGATGAAGCGTGGCGCGTCAGGTCAGGTCGAGTCACGGCGCGGGGAGGCGGCGCGGGGACGACCCGGGGTGGGCCAGGTCAGGGCCGGCAGCCCGCGGCGCCCAGCTCATCGGCGCTCACAGGGGACGTGGGGCCGCAGAGTGTGAACCGTTGGCAATTATTCTAGTTTTGTCCCGATAGGTCGGTCGACAAAAATATTATTGCAATGAGGGTTTTAAGTTTTACTGCACACAAAATCAGCTGAATAAATTATAACGATCATACACCCCGGCGTTCTAAGAGAAATAACGAAGGAGGGGGAGGGGGTGCGAACATCGCCTCTCGTTTTGGGCAACAGTTGGCAGTCAGATAGCATCGCTTCACGCCGCACCCCGCGCCGCGCTGCGCCGGGCCGCCCGCGCCGTCATGCCCTGACACGACAGGCGTGCGACCCGCAGCCCCGCCACCGCCATACCAGCATCCTCACGCCACCCACAGGGGGTTATGGGCAACTTTTATCGACCGGAAACATTCATGTATAAAAAAAGTCAACCTTTTGTTACGGGGTACGTTTTTTGCACTTTTATCCGACTAATATTTCCCAAGTCTATTTCTTGAGCAGCTCTCAGACAAACACTTTCGACACTTCCCCTATTATCGCCATTTCTACGGCTGAGGCCCGTTTACCTCACCGCTAACATTATCCCACGCTGCCCCTAAAATTGCATTTCTAATTTCCTGCTTCTTTCTTCTTGAAGGACGACGTTCACGGCGTACCAACTGGAGGAGCTGGAGCGTGCGTTCGAGCGCGCCCCGTACCCTGACGTGTTCGCCCGCGAGGAGCTCGCCCTGAAGCTCAACCTCAGCGAGTCCCGGGTGCAAGTATGGTTTCAGAATAGGCGCGCGAAGTGGCGCAAGAGAGAGCCTCCCCGCAAGACTGGCTATCTAGGCTCTGGTAAGTACCACGTTTAACATTTACCATCCATAGAGTGTGCGAATAGGGTATTCTACCTGTCGCAAAGCGGATCCAAAGAAGAACAGCAATTTTTCCTGAACTCTTTCCTCCCTTGAACGCTTGAACTCAACGGCTGGCGTCGACGAAGTTCTTGAACTGGCCGCAAGGGCGGTCGACCCCTAGTGTCGGGTCCGAGAGCTTAGTCCGCGTCGGCAAATCAGTGCCAAAGAGGAAAGGGTTCAGAAAGAACTGCTGTTCTTCTTTGGATCCGGTTTGCGGCAACAGGTAAAATACCCTTTTCTCAATCGTAATGCATCTCTACGGAATGTCGAGAGAGAGGGGGTCGTCTGCAGGGAGGGCAACCACGACCCTGTTTGTAACAACTTTGTCGCTACAAACAGGGTCGTAAGGCCATAACGCATTCCGGTAAAGCTGAAATGCAGAACAATGCATGGAACAAGAAAACGGAAGTCACCATATTAAAGCATAGCGATTTCCGTTTTCTTCTTTCCCGCATTCTTCTGCAATTCAGCTTTACCGGAATGCTTCATTCTTCAACCACCCCTCGCTCTGTTCAGAAGAAGCATCAAAAAGTAACTTGCCACCAGTCTCAGTCTATTATGATCCTCCTGGTTGAAGTACAGGAGGGTGATCAGAGAGCTCCCTGAAACCAACCGGAAATGTCCTCTAAATCGACTAAAATATAGGGTGACTGGGTAGTGGGAGAACAGGACTACAACGGAAGTACAGCGTTCTCAGGGAGCTGTCCGAGCGCCTTCCAGTAAAAGTTGGGTTATGTTGTACAAACCTTGTCGAAGAGCGGCGGCGGCGGCGGCGGCGGCGTCGCGGAAATACGAGGCGACAGTAGAGCATTTCACTTGACGCAAACCGGATTCAAATAGGAACAACAATGTTTCCTGAACTCTGCCCTTCCTGACGCAAACTGACTGACGTCGACGCGACGAGGTTGTTTTGAACTCGCTGGACGACACACACACTCACACAATATTCTGTGAATGTGTGTCGTGTCGTATGTGTGTTTAGTTTGGCTCTTGCGGCTCGCAATAGCCGCAAAGCATTCCAAACCGAACCGAACCATCCAAACGAGAAAAAAGCATTCCGGTAAAGCTAAAAAGAAGAAGAATGACGAGGGAACAACAAAATGGAAATCATTACGCTGTAGCATGGTGACTTCCGTTTTCTTGTTTCCCGCATTCTTCTGCATTTCAGCTTCACCAGAAAGCTTTCTTCGGACAGAGCGCAGAGCTCACGGCGCGCTCACTGATAGCACCTCCCAGAGAACGCGGTTTTGTCTTGTCAAAATGACATCGAGTGATGTCAGTGTCAAAATTTTGTCATTTTGGTGGCCTCCTTTGACGTCAATTTGACATCACGCAATGTCATGTGACATCAAAATCACGTCAAATCAGGACACCGAAATGACAAAATTTTTACACCGACAACCGACATCACTTGATTTCATTTTGACAAAACCGCGTTCTGTGGGCTTCTAAAACCCTAAACCGTTTTCGAAACCCCTTAAACAAGGATGAGGGGTCGTGTCGGAAACGTTTTGAGAACAAAATGGGGTATTTTAGTCGAGCCCGTGAAGGAAGTCAGAAAGAACAAAAGGCAGAAGAACAGAGGGTGGTTCTGTAAAGCCCGTCTGCACTCGGGGCAGAGTCTTTCTCCGGGTGCATGAGAGAAAAGCGCCCTTCTCTCTTGCCGGATGAGAGAGAAACCCCGATAAACTCGTGAGAACCGCAACCGCGACTCGACTGCAGCTGTTTAACTAAAAAGTAACCTTATGCAGAGTGTGACTTGATGTGTTCCCTCAGGTACATCGAGCCCCAGCCTCGGCTCCCCGTTCAGCTCGCTGGGCGGTGGCCTCGGTGGCGGTCTCGGCGGCGGCCTCAACGCCTTCCCACCGGCGGCGCCCGCGCCCGCCCCCGCACCCCACAGCGTGCCGATGACCAGCGACCCCTGGTCCTCCTACGCGCAGTACGACCTCAACCTCCCGTACGCCTCCTCATTCTCGTCGCCGAGTAGTGCTTCCTCGTATAGCTATGGTGAGTCTCGTTCCTAGTAGGGTATGCCGCTGCAAGACAATCGGAACCTAAAGAAGAAAAGCATGAATGCCCGGTCTGTTCCCTCCTGGACGCTGATTGGTCGACGATGACGTCGGTGTGTCAGCCACGACGATGACGTCGGTGTGTCAGCCAGCCAATGAGCGCGCAGAAGGAAACGGATCGAGCAGTCATGATTTTCTTCTCTTGGTTCCTATTTTCCTGGAGCGGAATACCCTATTACAAATTTTTGGTGTCGTTTTCGTCGGTCACTGATTGCCTCCCTGCTGCTCAGGCATGCACGACAGCGGGCTGTTCCGGTCGTCCCACAGCGAGTACATCACGGTGGGCGGGGACGACTCGCCGCCGCAGTACCAGTCCCTGCTGGGCGGCCACTCCCCGCCGTCGCACCACATCGGCACCGCCACCTACGTGGACCACGTCGAGCACGGCGTCGACGACCTCGGGGACAAGTACCACGACGACGACGGCCTGCTCCACCACCACCACCATCATCACAACCACCACGGGGACCCCGGCGGCCCGGGCGTCGCCAAGGACGTCGACCTCGGCGTTGGCGGCGGGCCCTCCATCTCGTCCGCACCCACGACCACCACCACCATCGGGGGCTTCAACGTGATAAACAGGTCGGGCGCCGGGCTCGGCAAGGAGCAGGGCCACATCAAGGTGGAGCCGGACATGTCGCAGAACTTCAACCTGCTGCCGCCCTTCATGTCGGACTGACGCTCGTGGGCCCAGAACCGGAAGGCGTCGTCAGGCTTGGGTGACAAGCCCTGAGTGAGCTCGCTGTCGCGGCGGAAGAGGAGCGAGGCGAGAACAAAACAACTTGTGATGCTGCGACAGGACGGTGAGGAGCGTTGGGTTGGGTTTCAGCTCAAACCTCCTTCACCGACGACTTTTGCTAGTCTGCGCGATCTGAGAGAGAAAGCACAAAGGGTTGTGTACACACGGACTTAATTGGGAGCTCCTCAGACGCTGAGTGTGTTCATGTCGATGTGCACAATAATATGCTTTGACGACAGCAGCAGAGCGAACAGGGATTTTGTGGTTTTCATCTGCGAAACGACATCTTTCGGTGGGCCATTAGATTTGTAGAAAAAATTGTTAGTTATTTTTGTCTCAACTTTTTAATAGTTTTATGAGCCTTGACTTAAGTGTGAACTGGAACATTTACCAAGTTTCTGTTCCTTCTTAAGACTGAAGTCTCTAAACGCGATTCAAATTAAATATAGCTATTTTTAAAAGAATTCAATTAGGTATTGTGTAATGTTACTATGTTTCAAATATGAATAGGGGGAAACCAAGACGTTTGTTAATAATTGTAGTTATCCTAGTGGTCCTAGTGCTAGTGTAAAGTACCCCCTTCCGATAACAAAAAAGCACGACTTTTACACCACCCTCTGATGTCTGATGCGGTCTTGCCTTTCAGCGGAAGTGTGAAGCCACGCTTAGGTGTTATCGGTGGGGGGAAAGCAAGAGGCGATTTGCCCAGCCAGAATGCTGAACGTATCGTAGTGTTAAGTTTCTCCGAGTGAGTGTTAGCTGGAAGCAGCTTTCACCTCGGGACTATTGCATTCCTGTGCCTTAAAACATGTGTACTTGTAAATAGTAGTGGTTTTTAAGACTGTGCCAACTTATTTGTTGTTTTGTAAATACTTAGAGTATTTAATTGCAGGGGGTTATTGGGCCCGTATGTGATATAACCGCTTACCAAGGAACGATGGAAATCAAATGGGTAATATTTCATTTGTCCAAGAATTTTGAAGAATGAGTAAGCATACTGTGTGTTATCAGTGACTCTCACGTTCCGTATCTATACCGTTTGATGGTAACCGTCCAAAAAATTACTTCCCATCGCTTCCCCAGTACATTACGACTACTCAGATGTACAAACGACATCACGGTGCCGAAGAAACCTCAGATCTACGGCAATACTACTTGATCGTTTAATAACATACGTATGTTCGTATGCGAATAAGCACAAAGTTATTTTTGTACTTTATTACTTTTTTATAAGAAGGTAGCAATTTTTATTTAATTTCTCTAAACGCGATTTATTACAATGAGACGGTTGGTATTTATTTTCAATTGTATAGGTGGGAAGTAAACTAGTTAAGTGAATTTCTGTTGAGTCCCTTCAGAAGACAGGTAAATTTATTGTTTTCTTCGTTTTCTCCTGTGTAGACTAGACACGTTATCATTTTATGTACATAAGAGCCATTTATAATATTTCCAAGTAAGACATGGGACAAGGTGGTACCTTCCTAGCCCATACTCTGTTACAAAGTAGGTGCTATAATTTCTTGTCGCGATTCTAGACCGCAACCATTCCTAGATCTTTTTCTTTCCTTTTTACCAGTCTCCTAAATATATTTGTGTTGTGTTTATTATCTCGATAACTGCTGTTAGACAATACGAATTTGTGATGAAGCTTCTATTTACCACTTAGTAGTACGGAGTTTGTGAAATTTACTTATGAAGCAGACCTGTCAAAAATTGACAGATAGCGAAACGATAATAAAAGGACTGCGTAATGTATTTTACTAGAATTTTCATTCACATTGATAGTTTGTAATTTGAAGTCTGATGTTTCTGCTTGATCAAAGAAAAGCTTGGTCAAAAAGGCGTTCTCATGGTTAAAATAGTTTGTTAATTTTCTCCAAAATCAAACTGTCGTCCAATTTATTGCCAAATCGGGGGAGACACTGCATGCATTAATTTTACCTATTAAATTCTACGTACCCTATTAAAAAATGTCATGAAAATTGGACATCAGGCATGAGGAGGAAGTGGGGGTGGGGCATTGACACTTATGTTTGTTGTTAAATATGTTTTGTAGAATCCTCGATTTAAAAAACGTTCAGAGTTGGCCTATAGTTCTCTACAAGAAATAGGACGTTTTCCGAACCAACAGAACTTTCTGTTTTGTCTAAGCTCAATTCTATCTTCCAAAAGGCACGTTTCAACCGCCAGTCTACTGTTGCAGTTTGCAGGGGTGGGTGTGCGCAGTGGGGTGGCCTGTGTGGACGAGACTACTCACTCAGAGTTGCTTATCGCCCACTCGTCACCGCCGGCCCGGCGCCCTCCCCGTGACGCCCCCCGTCCTCGTCACCCTTTATCGAGGCAGGAAACACTCTCCTCCCATTCAGGAACACATGGCGTCGTTTTATGGTTAAGGGAATGAAAAAGGTATCATGAAAAAGACGTTCCATCTCATAAATAAAAGTGTTGAACAAGTTTTCTTCTGTATGGCCCACGATTCTATTTACTCCTCTGGACACGTTTAGGTAAGGGGGGGTCAAAATTAATTTTGAAACCTATTATACAAGTTGATTTATAAACATATACATTCACTATGTATTACATCGAATAAATCGCCCTGCTCCGCCGCTAGTGGTTTGTGGCCGTCTCTTGTAGAGGGGGTCCCAAGCGAAACTCAATAAAAAAATACGCTCCCCTTTCCCTTCCTCTCTCTTGCCAAGGTCTGGCGTGAAAACACTGTCGGCATAAATTGACATCTTGTGGATGACGCAGCACTCTGCGTGCGCTGACGGGCGGCCGGGGCCTCGCTACGCAGTAGCAGCTTTGGGCACGACGCTCTCAATACTTGCACCGCAAACAAGGAAACCGTTCTCTCGCTCTGCAAAGCGACCGCTCTGTACCTAGGACCGAGCTGGACCCGACGGAGGGCCGCCTGGGAGGTAGGCAGTCTGCAAACACAGCGGGTAGAGTGGGTGGCCTACCCTGCCGACGTCGGGCGCCTCCTCGTCGGCACCTTCCTCGCTCCCGACCTGACTTCCTCCCTATCCATCTCTCACGACTCTCATCCCCTATCGACGCGTATATAGCCCGCCACTCCCCGGCCGCATCGACAGCGCGATTGAGTATCGGCCCGGCCGGCGGACTTGTTCTAAAACTGCATCTGACTCACGGCCTGGCTGGGGCCTGGGCTTTTGCACCTCGAGCATCCCCTACCTGCCCCAGCACTATTCCTGTCAAACGATTCAGACACAACGTGCGGGGCCCTCGGGAGCGCGTGTATCTCAGCTCCACCGGGTATAGGACGAAAACCCAAGCGTTATTTCTTGAATAATCTCTATGTATTCAGTAAAAGGGGAGTACGTGCCTATGTAGTAAAAACAATCGCCCACCCAAAGTAAGGCGAAATAACGCATGCCGTGTGTCTGAGCGACGACACAGCAATGTTGTGTGTGCCTACCCGTTACATGAGGGTGTTATTCAGAAGATGATGCATACATGCATATAGTTGGGTTTGCATAGTAGACGAGTGGCTACTTTCTCTTTGCCGTAGAAGGTCCCCCTTTTTTCCA